AAAAAAAAAAAAAAACCTGATATCTCACGGTCATATAATATCTCTAAGAATGTATTGAGATGCTTATTAAATGACAAATGTTCCTTGTATATCTACCATAATTATAATTACACATAACTGTTGTGCTTTTTTTTTTTTTCTCATTATTGTTATGACAAATTTTGTTACAACTTTCTTAATCCACAAAGCTACAATTTACAAAAGAAATTTCTATCTAACTAATGAGTGGTTTCATGTTAGGAATGTGGTTTTGTTAGATAATTTTATTTTATGTATTATAGTAAAAAATGATGCTTTGACAATACCAATATCTTTCTTTTATGTATCATAATCATTTCATATTAATCTTTCAATTTAATTTTTTTTATTTATTTTTTTTATGAAAAATTATATATAAGGATGAAGTTGGTCATATGTAATACTTGGTAAAAAAATTTGTGCATTCAATCATCATTTCATAATATCAATATTCTATTATTTCAAAAAAAAAATTTAAAAAAAAAAACTGGCAGGCATATTAATCTTTCAATTTAATTTTTTTTATTTATTTTTTTTATGAAAAATTATGTATAAGGATGAAGTTGGTCATATGTAATACTTGGTAAAAAAATTTGTGCATTCAATCATCATTTCATAATATCAATATTCTATTATTTAAAAAAAAAAATTTAAAAAAAAAACTGGCAGGCTGGCCCGCGGCCCGCGCGGGCCAGTCTGTTTAGGCCCGCTCTTTGGCGGGCCTCTAAAACTACAACCCAACCAGCACATTTGGCGGCGCAGGGCAGGGCGGGGCGGGGCGGGGCGGGGCGAGGCGGGGCGGTCCGCGGGCTCAGGCCCGTTTTGACATCTCTAGTAAGATCCTACTAATGTCATAGTCATACCACTCTCAACCATGAGGTGAGGATCGACAACATTCGAACTAAGCAACTAAAATCTACACTTACCAGAACATTAGGCCACAGCTCATTCTTAGTCCCTAAAATGCAACTAAAGAGAAAAATATATAATAGAAATTCACACAAAGCGTAGTCATATGGTTAAAAACGTAAAACTTTGAGTAAGGTCGTAAAAAGTTCACCTCGCAAGCATTTCTTAATTAAATCAAACAGACTTCTGTTCAAGACGAAGTTTTGATCTTCACTCGGCACAACCCAGCCTCTGCACTCTTCTGAGCCATATCATGCAACAATCTCTTAGCAGTCTCCACGACCTTTCCCTTCCCGTCAATATGCGCAGCAAAATCGTACACAATCCTCTCGAGTTCCAACATGGTGAGTCTCTTCTCAGGAGGCGAATCCCTGAGCAAATCCAATAACATCCGAGCCCCTTCCTGGGCGGTTGGGGTACTCTCGGCTGCCAAGCGCAAAAGGCCCGGGATAGCACCCTCGTTGAGAATAAGCTCCCGATACTTGTCCCGTGAGCTCCTACACAATGACAATAATGCCCCCCACAGCATACAACATGCTGAATGAGGAACCATCTTCCACAGTCTCCACCAGGGTTAAAATCCCACCTTCCGATTCAGTAATTGCATACCGACCCTCTTCAGGGCCCGAGAATATCTCCAAGAGGAAACTCGCCTTCTCGGCGAATTTGGAGTATTTTTTGCATTCTTTCAAGAGGTTGATTAGTGGGGGCACGGCCCTTGGGTCAAGGTTCAGTTTGGGTTCGTCCTCAGCGGTTGAGAGGTTGTAGAGGGCCGTGACTGCATCCACCCGTCCCTGAACGCTGCCCGAGCACAGGATCCAGACCAATTGAACGTGGGCCCCGGAAGCTGTTATGGTGGGCTTGTTGGGTGGTGCAGACGATAGTGATAGGATTGCAGCAGCGGATAATTCCCTCAGGTTGTCAGCTTGGTGCTTGAGGAGGTCGAGGAGGGGTGGGACTGCGCCAGTTGTCACGATCCTGATCTTGTTTCTGGTGACAACGAGAGGAAATTAAAGGAGTGCAGATTTAAACTTATGGTGGTCAATGAAGCAAATATATTTGACACGTATATTGAAGAAAGCGATTTCGTGTTTCTTTAATTGATTTGAGGCTTCATTTGGGTCGACGGTTTTCAAATTCGTAATTATAAGCAATTATTTGAAGCCACTTACAGTGTTGTTTTGGTATATTTCAAATCAAATCTTATATGCAGCAGGGATCCAGAATCTTCATCAATATTCAACTTGAAGTTTTACTTGGTTTGGTGAATTTGAACCCAAGTATCAAACCTATCCGAACAAATCCAGTGAACTTGTATGGCTCATCTAAAAAGATAACAGGCTTCAAATCAAATCATCAAGCTCCAACGAAACCTATATCCATGCTACTCTACAATTCATCAAGGTGGTTTAAAAAATTCAAGTTATACTAAATCCTAAACTCAAATTCTTCCTTCTAAGGCAAGAACTTCCCATCCCACCCTTAGCAAACAAACAAACAAAAAAAAAAAAAAAAAAAATTAGACAAAACAGCTATGGACAAAACTTTCTCCATTTTTAGGTTATTTTATCTTTGTCTTCAACTTTTTACTGTCATGTTTCACCAGATGACACCCTCATGCTACCACACAGCAGATAAATATTATACAGAAAGATTTGCTAAAACAATTCTAAGTTCCAGCAAAATCAATGAAATTTCAGGTACACATTATCGAATTTATTCTCAGCTCATCAAATTTATTCTACATCTGATTTTAGCAGTGCCTAGATATAGCTCGAAGCAGCAATTACTTCGCACAATCAGAGTTCACAGTAGAAGCTTTTCTCAAGACGCGTAAGAGAAGAAGGGGGCAATACCTCTGATTGCGAGCAGCCAGATTGAGGAACGCGAGCAGCGCCGCCTCGCGGGCGGCAAGGGGAAACGAGATGTGGAGCATCGAAACGAGCGGCTCGATAACTCCGGCTGCAGCGAACCGGCAGCGGATGGCGGATTTGGAATTAACGCTGGTGGACTTCCTCACGAGCCTCCTCACGTCCCTCTCCGCCTCGATCCTTGCTCTCAGATCCCCGACGGTCAGCACCCTCACTACCTCCTCCACGACCATTTTCCGACTCCACAGCGACGGCGACGGGGCGGCGTTGCAGCTGTTTATGCCGTCATCGTCTCTTTCTCGCAATTTCAGCATTACATCCTCGTCGTCTTCCTCTCCCTCCTCCAATTCTCTCTCTAGAGCCATGGTCGGCGAGGTTTCTCCGTTCCTTGACATCAGCACGTGAGGGGGCCTGGGAGGAAAGATTTTAGACGTTTCGCTTACCGTGCCATCTGCGGTGGGTTGCCTGCGGTTTCGTGCATTGCGAATGTTGATCGTAGTTTATATTTCACTTTTTACATTTTAAATATAGGGATAAATTGCGCCAAACCGCCCTGTATTATACGAAATTTGCGTCTTATCCCCTGTATTTTAAAAAATGCGCCATACCCCCTTGTATTATACTTTTGATTGCGCGTTATCCCCTAAACCGTCTAACTTGACGGATGTGCATTTCACGCGCGTGTGGTGCGACTTTTTCTCCATTTTTTCGCCATAAACTCAGAGAAATGACTAGTTTGCCCCTTAATACCTGAATCAAATTGCAATTAATTAAACTTCTGAAAATTGCAAAGCAGCCCCTCACTTTAATTAAATTTTCAAATCAAGGTTCTGCAACATCAAATTCAAAACCCTATTTCACGCAGCTTGCTCGCCCATCGCAGGTAGCCGTCGTGTTCGACCTCCGGCAAGCCATCGCCGCCCCAGGCCGGCATATTCTTGCCGGAGTTGTCACCTGCGGTCAAAGCTGCGATTTTTTTTTTCTTTATATGTGCGTCCGCCATTAATGGCGGACCTTCGAGCTCCAAGCTCGGATTCACGCCGAGCGCGACAGTGGCAAGAGGTCTGATGGCCGGCGATCTGTACGGGATTCCAAATCCCAGAATTCAATTTTTTTTTTTTAGTGTGTCCACCATTAATGGCGGACGAGCTCGAAGCTTGAGTTTCGACGATTGGCCGCGACGGGGGCCACCCAGTGGCAGCGTAGAGTTACAAAGTGCTCCCAGATTGGGAATCAAATTCCTAGATTTTGTATATGCGTAGAGTTATAATTCGTAGAAAAATTGTCAAACCATAAAATGTTCCTCTTGCAAAAAAAATATATTATCTAAACTTTCTTGTACACAACATTATTGGTTCAATAACTGAGCAACTCGTCGTCTCCACGAACTAATATTTTCAACACTTTTTTATTACTTACACGCGAAACAAACAACATAAATTGTCCGTGACTAAAAATTGATTTCTTTAAGAACATGGCAACGTACAATAAATATTGACCTTGACTCTTCTTGATCTATTACTTAACATGTCAACGTACAACAAATATTGATATTGACTCTTTTTGACCTTAATACAAACACAAACCAAAAATCGAGTTATATGAAAATTATGACGGGTATGAAAAAATCACATGTTATTAAAAACCTAATTGTAAACAACATTATTAGTTTGATTATTGGGCACACTGCAATAAAATGATAAAATTTCAGTGGAAATCTATTCCAAAAGAAATTATTCCAACAACAATTCCAACAGATATTTCAATACTATTATTTCCGTTGGAAATTTTCAATGGATTCCAACGGAAATTCCAACAAAAATATTCCGTTGGAATGAATTTTTCATTAGAATTTCCGTTGTATTTCCAAGAGTGGATTTTTCAACGGGGTGGAAATAAAAATTCTAAGGGAATTTGCATATTCCAATGGAAATTCCTACGATAAAAAAACCATTGAAAATATAGCTATCTAAGAAACTCAATCTTTTAAAATATAGTGATCGTGTGTTATTTTTAAATTTCGTGTTTGATGGACTCTTTTATTAATTAGTTGGTTTGAATCAATATATAACAAATTTTGTTGCCAATCGTTATTAGAGTTTTTAAATTAATTTGTGTAAATGCATAAATAAAAAGAGACCTAAACTATGAAAATTTTTTCATCTTTTGAAATCAAATAAATGACAAACACTATCTTTTAAAATAAATAATGACAATGATTATAACATTGTATGATCAAAACCGATAAGGTATATAAAATTTGTTTTCCTTTTCAAATCGAAAATGAAGAAAAAAGTATAATTGGTGAAAAGATGATATATACAAATCATGATTTAGAAATCTGATATATACAAATCTTAGCATGCGGTTTCAAATAATTTAATAATATAATAATAGGCTGAATGAATTATGATTCAGATTCATGCAAATAAAATTTTGAACATATTTCTAAAATCATGATATATACAAATCATGATTTTCCTTGGAGATTTATTCGGATTTCCAAATTGTTTGGAAATCACGTTTTCTAAAATCATGATTTATTCATATTTACATTCGGATTTTCAAAATGTTTGAAAAAATAGGAGATTTATTCAGATTTTGATTCCTTATTAGTTGCCAATATAAAAGTATTTGATGTTATTCCTAAAAAAAAGGAAAAAAGTTGATTTACTATTTTTAGTAGATAATTAATGAAAGTGACAGGAAATTGTTTCTAAATTTGATTTATGTTAATCCTTATTATATAGGACTAGTATGTAACCTGTGCGATGCACGGACTGTATTTACTTTGGAGAATATTAAAAATTAAATGTATTAATAAATAAAAGAGTGATAATTCGTAGAAAAATTATTAAACCATAAAATATTCCTCATGCAAAAAAATATATTATTTGAATTTTTTTGTACACAACATTATTTGTTCAATAACTGAGCAACTCGTCGTCCACACAAACTAATATTTTCAACACTTTTCTATTATTTACATGCGAAACAAACAACATAATTGTCCGTGACTATAAATCAATTTCTTTAAGAACATGTCAACGTATAATAAATATTGACCTTGACTCTTCTTGATCTATTACTTAACATGTCAACGTACAATAAATGTTGACCTTGACTCTTCTTGACCTATTACTTACACAGGTAACAACATACAATTTGTCGTGATCAAAAAAAGATTTTTTTAAGAACATGTCAATGCACATCTCTTATATATTACTTACACGTAAAAACAACAACATATAATCGGTCGTTGTTAAGAACCGATTTCTTTAATAATATGCCAACGCACATAAAGACTGACCCTGATCTTAAATGAAACCCTAAGATCAGAAGTAACTGGTGCTCTAGAACTTAAATGAAATCCTAAGATGAATCTTTTTATAATATGATAATTTGCTTAGGCAGTCAGACAATGGGTTGTTAGTTTAATATCGATTATTCTTGATTAGCTATATAATATTCACTAATGTTTCTATATTTTTTATACAAAAAGACCGACCATGACAGTTAAATGGAACCCCAAAATCAGAAGGAACTGGTGCCGCTGGAACTTAAATGGAAGTCTAAGATGGATCTATTTATAATATGATAATTTATACAACAGTTTGACAAATGAATTGGTGTATATCTACAAAAGTATGTATGAAAATGCAAAACATTAAATATTACATCACACTAATTTTATAAGAGAGATTATATATAGTAGATATAAAATATAAAATATTAGTGATTATACATTACTTCAGGCTAATTTTTTCAAGCCGAACAATTTTTAATTGAATGTGTGACAACCTGTTATATATTTCAAACTGGACAAATTTTAATTGGACAACTTTCCTATTATATGTGTGACAATTTTTTAAGTAGTAAATATATATATATATAATATATATATATATTTTGCAATAAATTTATATTTTGTGTATACAAAAACAAACAAAAAAAATCGATTTACTATACAAAATTATGAAAATTTTCCTTTTAAAAACAATTGACAAAAAGAATACCAATAAAGGAAATTGGTGTATATCTCAAAAAAAAAAAAAATGATTTGTATATCTCAAATAAAATCGTTCATTTTCAAAATCTGCTATAATGAAAAATATATTTAAATATTAATATAAATATATTTAGATATTAATATAAATTTATATTTTGTAATTGTTGGTCCCAATAAATATGATAAAATAAAAAAGAATCCTCACAAATGAGAATTCCAAAAATAACGCCATGTAAATTTAAATATTACTATAAATATGTTTTTTTTGTGCGTATGTAACATATATTCTAATCCAAATCAATGATTCTAATAAATCTGTTAAAATAAAAAAGAATCCTTGATAAATATATAAGAGTTCCAAAATCGGCTACATATAATTATTTACATAATCTTTGCCTACAAAACCACTATTAACGTAATTAAAGAAAAAACCAAGAATTTACTAAAACAAACACAAACCAAAAATCGCGTTATATGAAAATTATTCAAGTATTGATTTATTTTTTATTTAGATCATTTTTTATTATTTCCATCTATAGTAGGTAATTAATGTTTTGAGCGGAAAATATTCATAAAATGTTTGTGATGGGTTTCTGCTCAGATCTGGGACGGTCTAATGAGAAAACGTCCGGATCTGGGACGAACCGGTACGGATGAGCTTAGATCTGATGTGATGGCGATCGAACCGTTGTTGCGAGCCGCAAGAACACCTGCAAGAACTCAACGCCGGAGGGGTTTCCGGCGTAGAGCCTCCGACGCTCAAGTCAGTATACGAGAGAGGTGATGATAGCTGCTATCAGAGCAGCAGCAGTAATGAAAAGGATATAGGATGAATGGGAGTTAGGGTTTTTGGATTACCTCAGTCCTTTATATAGGAATACGATATATACCTGAAGTCCCCAAAATGCCCCGGCCGACTTAATGGAAATATCCAGAATACCCTGGTCGGTTCATATTCCGCCTACTTCCTAGTCAGCATCTAGATCCTTCTTGAACTTCCTTCTTATCCTTAATTCTTCTTCAATATACTGAGGTGTGTCGAAGCTATCGGGCACCACGAGCTACAACTCCCTCAGTCGACCTGAGACACTACGTCGAGTCGACTGGGTCGCACTCAACTGTTAGTAGACCCCAATACATCTGACCGTTATCTTACAAGAGGTCGACTTACTCTAGTCGACAAGTGTACATTTACTCGGTCGAGGGCCGGGCTTCTTGACTGAGTGTCATGGAACCTTACTAATAGAGTCGACTTTGCTGGGGTCGACTCGGTAATCTCAAACCGTGCCGACATGAACCGTTATGAGCCGATCGCGGCAATGCCGCGGTTACTGAACCGATGCACGACAGTAGGGCTATATCATCTAGTCCCCCCCAAAATTACTC